TTATTGAAATAAACAATGCATAAAACTGGTAATACGATTGCCGACGCAATATACTTGTGTTCAAACAAGATGCGCTGCTACTCGTAGTACCAAGTAGAACTTCCACGTGAATAAATTAATGTTATGACTTCCTACATTATCGTGGTGTTTTCTTTATTTTATACAGGTTTACAACGTTCTAGAATAAACATTAATATGCATCCCAACTTCTATAAAGAGGAAAGAGTTGTATCTTTGTATGCATTGAAATAACTTAAGAACTACTGAGCAGATTTCCAAAATTCGCTCACCATTAGAAAGGTATGTTATGTTATGTTAACATAACATAGCTTAATGTTCCGTGAAATAGAAATATAGCCTATGTTATGTTATAAGTCGCGGGCAACAGCTAGCAATTCATAATCTATACTATTATAATAAAACGTAAACACACACTTCTTTGTTGCTTAAGATCTCAGCGATTACAGCATATTTTTGAATAATTATTTTTTAATAAATAACCCTACACCTACGTCACGCTTGAAGCTATATATTTTTAAGCCATTAAACTTAGGGGGTAAATATTTTGGATAAAACCCTAATATGTGAAAAAGACCATAAATTCCTGCCAACATTAAGAAAGCAAGGTTGAATCATGTCATGTCATTTTGACATTTGCAATTGATAATTTGACAAATGTAAATAATAAAATAAAGTTTTTTTTATAATTTAATGCGGATGAAGTCGCACGGGAACAGCTAGTTTACCATATAAAGCGTACATACATGCACAGGTGTCGTAATTTTGTTTAGACCTAAAACTATACTGCCTTTAGAAAATCCTACTAAAGTTTCGACACAATCTATTCAATAGTTTTGTAATGAAAATAAAGCATATCTTTTAAATTCATAAAACTGACATAAAACCTAGCTGTTACAAAGTAATTAAATCGGCAAAACCGTAAAAAACAACAAAAAATTATCGACCAAAAATAAAGAACTATTTTTTTAATGTCAGTTAAAACTGAAACGTCATTGGGCCTTTCAATGAGCTTGTGTTCATTTGTTTATACAATTTATTGTGAAAGGCGTGGCGGTATCCGGGTTTGCGTTTACAACGGTAAGGCTAGATTTATTTGATAAGACATAAATGTGTTTTTTACTGGTAACTATGCTGATTTGTTACCAGATTCCAATTCAATCACTGAAACGACATTTTAATTAGCGTCTTAAATGGTAAATCCAAGCTGAAACTTCTCATTAAAATGTTAACGTCATAGAAGCGGCGTTTACGCAGTTTAAGATTCGTTTCAATATTCGGCTGTCAGTTGAGTTCCGATTTTTTTAAATTCTAAATTATGTTCGTATATGACATCATATTACATGTTGCGTTTTTTTTTTTAATTGTGTGATAGATAATTTTTGCTCGTGATAAAGTTTTGCACTAGCAAAAGGAACTCTTAAGTAGCCCATTTCTATTATAATCTACGTTAATTTCTGATTTTCAGACATTAATTATTTGCAATTGCGCAATACAGCCACCGACTTCTTCTAAAGTCACGATCAAATCCTTTAACAAACTTAAATCTACCACCAACATTTATGTACTACGCGAAAATAATCCTTATCCAATACCACTAAGGTCGATAGTTTTTAAATTAGTATTCACTGACTGCAAATTGAAGTTGTCGAAGATACAATGCAAAAATGATATCAAAGCTTCAAAGCAAGCCGTTGCATCACCTCGTGCCCGATACAATAATAATACAAAAAAATGAAAGTGCAAGAAGTAGAGCGGGCAATGGACACAATGGCATCGCAGACACGACTTTTATTATTAAAATGATGTCTAGAAGATGACATGGAAGATATTGTATAATAAGTGAAATTAATTTTACAAGACGAGCGTTTTTTATGGTTTTCTAACGCGAAAATTTGTGATTTTGTCATTTTTTTTTAATTATAAGGTGGCAAACGAGCAAACGGCCACTTGAATCCACCGAAATGACGTAGAGACCGCCGCCCATAGACATCCGCAATTGCAGATGCGTTGCCTACCCTTAATCGACGGTGAAAGGAGACGCAAATAAAGAGGACATTTCCTCTTCCTATGCGTCTCCTCCACCATAAAATCCACTTTTCCTTCCCATCCGTTCCCCTTAAGAAAAGGGTGGAAAGGAAAAGAGTCCAAAATTAGACCTCCGGCACCACACTCATCAGACTGTACGCGGAATTGATCCCATTTCACGCCTGGTTTCTATGTGGTCATGGTATTACACCAGGAGAGCCGACCCATTCGTGCGAAGATGTTAAAGCGGGCTCTACCGCTGTTAGTGTCATGTCAGTTTTCATCGATAAAGTATTTAATTTGTGCAGCCTCCATATCGGGCATAAAGTAAACCGATAACATATTACTTATCTTACTTCTTACTAATATTATAAATGCGAAATAGACTACGATAGATGTTTTTTAGTGTTTGTGGACCAAACGTCTGAACGAAATATAAATAAATAAATAAAATAAATAAAAAAAAAATCTC